GTCTGTGTATATGCCTGTGTGCATGTCTGTCCGTCTGTGTATATGCCTGTGTGCATGTCTGTCTGTTTGTGTATATGCCTGTGTGCATGTGTGTGCATGCATGTTTCTTTCCATAAGTCCTTGGTCAGTGTTTCCACATAGAGATACCAATGCAAGGTGCTGCCTTTGAGAGCATCTGCTTACTTTCCCGATGACTAAGAAGCAGGAAGAGATGAAGCTTGGTCATTACAGAGCACTTTGTGACACAGTGACCTCATACTTCCTGTTTCCATCCGAGAGGGGGGCTGGTGGAAGGAACCATTTTAGCAGAAGGCCGTGAATGGGGGACTAGAAAGTGTTAAGGATGTGAAGTTTACATTTTCTGCAGAAAACCAGACATATTTTTAGCAAGCAAAACGCTGGAGTAAACCAGCAGTTGGATGAAGGAGCTGAACTTGAGGGGAATAGCAGCTGTGGCCCACTGACCCACGAGCAGGTCTGGGCATCAGGAGCTCACTCCTGCTTCTGAGTCTTGTACAGTTTCTGCTAAGCTGCTGCACCAGCCAGGCCTTGTTTGGAACTGATATCGAGACCAAACTCAATAGCAAAATAAATTCCGACATTTTTTGTCCTAGCTTTTGTGCCAGCGCTATAGAACAATGCTGTTCGGATGACTTTGTTCATAAAGGAGAGGACCCTTGAAAAGAGATGGGGGGACACGTCCCCTCTTTCCCATTTACAAGCCAATTGTGACGTAGGCCACACTGCAGCTGTGGGAGACACTCAGGGAAGAGCAGGGGGCCCCCGCCTCTGGCGATGACAAAAACAGTTTTCTCTTCTGAGTAGGATTTTGTTTCTGTGATTACGGGTTATACAGAGGGATGGAGTGACCATCCTCACGTGCTCATCAGACCCGCAGAGATGGGGAGCGTCGACATAAATGCTCCCTGGATCATCACATAAATGGCTAGAGCTGAACTCTCAACTGGTTCTTTTTCCCAGGAAGGATGGGAATCAGTCATCAGTCAAGGCAAGAAATAAATCTACTTTTTAAAAAAACCCTCCAGCTTCCTTGGAGTGCTTTCACATTTCAAGCGTGTAATTCCATGATTTTTAAGTAACTTTCTAGAGTTGTGTCAGTATCATCAGAGTCTGGGTTTGCGATGTTTTCCATCTTCCCAAAACGCTCTGTGCCATGTGTTGTCCTCAGTCAGCGTTCCCACCTGCATCCCCTGGCAGCCGATACAATCTGCTGTAATGTCCCTCATAGATTCGCCTGTTCTGGACATTTCAAATACAGGAAATCATAAAACATGTGGTCTCTCGCATCCGGCTTCTTTCATTTAGCATAATTGTTTTCAAGGTTCTTCCGCATCGTGGCTCATGTCTGTATTCCCTTCCTTTTTATTGCCGAGTCGTGTTCCACTGCATGGATGATACCATCTTTTGAATGTCCTTCTCTCAGTAGATGAAGTCTTTTCATTTTCTGGCTATCGTGAATACCGCCGCCGCCGTGCTTTACTGTGGCAGCTGGATCAAAACCCCACAAACTTGATGGCTTAAAACAAGAATTTATTCTCTCACAGTTCTGGAGACCAGAATTCAGGAATCAAGGTGTGGACGGGCTTGTCGCCCTCTGGAGACTCCTGGGGAGATTCCATTCCTTGCTTTTTTTTTTCTTTTTGAGACAAGAGTCTTACTATGACTTGAGGGCACATCATTCCAATGTCTGTCTCCTTTTTCACATCGTGGTTTTTTCTCTCCTGTATATCACTCAGAATCTGTCTCTCTCTCTCTCCTAAGGATATATGTGATTACACCGTTTAAGATCCACTTTGATAATTCAGGAGAGACCACTTTTCTCAAGGTCCTTATTTCATCAGCTCTTTGCCACATAAGCTAATAATGTGCAGGTTCCAGGATTTGATGTGGACACCTTTTGGCGAGAAATTTTTCAGTTGTGAACATGTGCATAAACTTTCTGTGTAGACACACACACGCACATATATATATAAAATTTCATTTCTTTTAGTAGATACCTAGGAATAGAATTGCTGGGTTGTATGGTAAATCGGTGTTTAACTTTTTGAGAAATTGCCGAACTGTTTTCAGAAGGGGCTATATCATTTTATATTCCCCCCGGCAATGTCTGAGGGTTCTAGTTTCTCTGTATTCTTGTCAATGGTCTGCTGCCTCCTTTTTTTTAACCATAGCTATTCTCGTGGATATGAAGTGGTACCTCATTGTGGCTTTAATTTGCATATCCCCATGACTAACAGTGCTGAACAATGTCTTATCGTGTGCTAATTTGTCATTCGTGTATAATTTTTTGTAAAATACCTATTCAGAGCTCTTGACCCAGTGTCCTCAAACTACAGCCCGTGGGCCACATGCCCGCCTAGGTCATTTATCTGACCTGCCGGGTGTTTTTGCCGCTGCTGCCTGTCCTGCTTAGCAGCCGACTCGTCCTAGGGCCCACAGTCCAGCCCTCCAACAATCTGAGGCACAGTGAACTGGCCCCCTGTTTAAAAAGTTTGTAGGACCCCTGCTTGGGTTGTCTTCTTTTTTTTGAGTTGTGAGCTAGTTTCCGGATTTCTACACCCTGGCCCAGCCACCAGCCATTGCCAGTGTTGAATACAGGGGTGGCTGGGGTCCCTGTGGTTGGGAGGTGCAAAGGCTGCCTGGTTCCTTAAGATGCCACGGGCTGGGGCAGGGCACCATCCCTGTACTGTCTGTCACCAGGGTGTGGGGGTGTCTGTCTGTAGATGGGACTCACAAGTGGCCTTTGGGCCACCAAATACTATGTTGGGGAAGCCGAAAGATGACCCCCCCCATGCTCTACAGGTCATCAGCTCAGTGGTGGGCAGCCATTCCGTGTGTCCATGTGTTGAGTGGAGGGCATGGGGGTCCCTTCTCTGCCTTACCGTGAGTGACTCCCATGAAATTATGAAATCATTGACTCCGCAGTTCACTATCCCGGAATGTTCTGTTTAGTGCCGCACATTCTAACTTTTCCCTGTATGTCTCATTTCCAGCGATCTATAACTACAATGCTTCTCAAGATGTGGAGCTCTCCTTGCAGATCGGCGACACGGTTCACATCCTGGAGATGTACGAGGGTAAGTCTGGCCGGCCCTCTGCCAACCTGGGGCAAGGGAAGAAACAGTGGAAGTCACTTATTAATAAAGCACTTAGGGTAAACATTACACACTGTACTTCCTGAAGCAGCACTAGTGAAAGTCCCGGAAACACTTGGAGGACACAGTTTTGTTCTGAGGGTGACAGAACAGCCAACTGGATACACTTGATCTTAGCCGGAAGGCTGAGAAGCCAGCTGAACACCAGAGCACAGACAGGCATAGACAGCAGCGTCGTGTGGACGTGTGAAGGACACACACACTGCCCCAGCCACTGGGAAGTGTCAGCTACAGAGCTGGCTTGCGGGAAGGCACTTGGGAAAACACGAGAGAGAGACTTTCTGGTGTTGCAGTGATTCTTTCAGAGAATTCGGCCAAGACTGCAGTAGGTCCGGAAAGCTGCTTGTGTGTCGCCTCCAAGTAGGTTGGACGAGGGCAGTGGTTCAGTTAACCTGGGAGACCTGGGAGTGGGCAGTGCTCAGGACTGCCTGTTTGCAAAGCACCCAGCATGTCTGGGGCCAGCCAAGGTCTCTGGCTTCAACTCAGGTGCTCTGAACCCTCAACGAAGGCTTCCTCCACGTTTCTAACCCAAACCCCCAGAGCGCAGTAAAGCACAGTCAGGCTGATGAAGTTGAGAGTCAAAGCCAAGCACAGTCTTCAGGGCCCAGTTCTGTTCTCTGAAGGTTGGCACAGGAATGAGTGGGAAGCGAGGCAGAATTAGTGGGGACTCTGCATTTGCAGAGGGCTTGTGAATGACAAAGGTGGTCCTCCAGGATCCTGTGCAGGTTCCTAGGGTGGGACACGGTGATGCGGGACGTGGATGGGGAGAGGCAGGAAAGCAGGAGGAATGCGGCAGAGTTTGGCCATTGCAAAGCTAAGCCATCTGCCTGTCTGCACAGAGGACTCTGCCGTTCCTGCTGCCTCCCTTTGGTTTTTGGCAGGTCAGGGTTTCGCATTATCCTCTCTACTTCTGCACAACTCAGTGCAACCATATAGGTCCCAGGGGCAGGTAGAAGACAGAGCCTGCTGTGTGCTTGTCCCTTTCCATTCACTCTCTGCGGCTTTCATCCTCATTTTCTCAGGCCCAGCCAAACACCCGTTCTGAGCCACCAGAACGGTCAGCTTACCTCTGGCTTATGAAAACCACAGTCCCCTCTGACCTCGCAAAGTCCTACCTCTTTGTCAAGGGGACAGATTAATCCCCTCTGGCCTCTTTAGGCATACATTTATTTTCCTGTTGTACAAATGAAAAGCATATGTTTAATTTTTCTAAGTTTTCCATATGGGGTTGGAAAGAATATTAATATTTAAGAGTCACTGGGTGTAAAGTTCTACCTATAATAATTAGATTCCAATTCTTGGTCATTTTTTCAAATTTGTTGTATGCTAACTTCTTTTTCTGCTTTTTCTGTTACTCATAGAGCTGTGTTAAATCTTCAACTGTGATTGTAACGTGTCTGTGTCTCTTTACAATAATGTCAGTTGTTTGCTTTTTGTGTTCTGAGAGCTGTTTGGGGGTGCCTACCATTTTAGAAAGGTTGTGCTCCACAGTTCCAACTTGTAACCCTTTCATCACTGTCTCAATCCGTAGTAATGCATTATGCCTTACTCTATTTTTGTCTAAAATTACGGCCAACTCATTGGTACTTCTGGGGTTCTCTTGGCCCCAGAAGGCTGTCAGGAATGTTCCTTTGTTCTTAGGCATTCAGGGATAATCAGTAGATGCCCCAGACAGCCCCAAATGCTGGGCTGGACATTTTTAGTTTTGGTCTTTTTTCGGGTCTTGGTAATTCTTCATTGCCATGTTAACTGTCTTGTGTGTGTGTGTGTGTTGTTTTTTTTTTTTTTTTTTTTTTTTTTGGGTGTGTGTGTGGCTGGAGCCGGGTTTGAACCCACTACCTCCAGTATATGAGGCCGGCACCTTACTCCTTTGAGTCACAGGAACTGCCCAAATGTGTGCTGTTTTGCTAAGATTTTCTAATTGCCCTGTGGCTTGTGGGAGGAAAGAATGGAAAGTTGATCTAAAGTAAAGTAAATGATGTTTTAAAAATACATCATTGAGGCTCGGTGCCTGTGGCGCAAGTGGCTAAGGTGCCAGCCACATACCCCCAAGGTGGCGGGTTCAAATCCAGCCCGGGCTGCCAAAACAACAATGACGGCAACCAAAAAATAGCTGGGCGTTGTAGTGGGCGCCTGTGGTCCCAGCTACTTGGGAGGCTGAGGCAGGAGACTCGCTTAAGCCCAGGAGTTGGAGGTTGCTGTGAGCTGTGATGCCACAGCACTCTACCCAGGGGCACAGCTTGAGGCTCTGTCTCAAAAAAAAAAAAATACATCATTGAAATTCTTTTTTCATTTATATGTGACCCTAGTATATATTTTTTGACACAATGAATTGAAGAACTTTATCTTGTTAGGGTTTATATTGTAGTAATTTTTAGCATGCTCATTATTTATACTTAACTGAGTGGTTTTCCACTTGGCCAGTGAGCATTCGAGAAGGCAGCACTGCTCGGGGCCACTGAACCACTATCATTAAATATCAATATAAACCCAGACACAGGAACTCATCCTCTTCAAATGTCATGAACTTGAGTCGGAAAAGTCCAAAACTCACCTGCGTCCGGTATTTTGCAGTTCACATGGTGGGACAATCAGAGGAAGTCCTGGTCCAGTTGACAATCACAAAGAAAAGGTTGATTTCATCTTCATTGCATCTTCAGTACCATGGTCCACACACAAGAAGTCAGTTTTCTTCCTAATTGCTGCCATAAAATATTTGCTGTGCCAGCCATAGAACTCTTTGATCTCAGAGAAGGACATCAGTGCCTGTTCTTTAAAAGTGGACACATGTCCCGGTGTGGATGGGGAAGGGAGATTGAGAATGGGAGTTTGCATCCTGGGCTTACCAAGTTCATCAACCACCAAGTGGCATATTGCCTTGACAGACAGATTATTACATGGGATTGTATTTTTTCAGTAGTGTTCACTTACGGGATTAGTTTTTCAGTTGGTGCCTATCTCGCTAGATGCCATAGGTTCTTGTATCTGCCGAGTACTTAGAGTTCTTGGCTGGATCCTCAAATTCCAAATTTCAGGCAGCCGAGGACTAGGCGAGGGCAGGAGGGCTTTGCAAACACGAAACACAATGGAGATGCTGAGTAATAACTGGTGTCCGCTCCCTCCTTTGAAAAAATAAACAAAATGGAAATACCCACAGGACTGCTGGATGGGATTTAAGGCTGGTGCTGGCACCGTGTCGTGGCCCCAGGGCTTTGCATCTGTTAGCCTCCTCTCTCTGCACGCCCGTCCCCACCCTGCCCCTGAGGTACATGCATGCCAGATCTCTGCGTGTTTTTCCGGTGTGTACATGAGTCCTCCCAGACATGAAAAATTCTTTTCTCCGCCACAACAGAACACCAGTTAGGGCTCTCCTTTCTCTGTGTCCTGCCCTGTGCTTGAATGACTGATCTCTGAGAGTGACAGCTTCTTGAAGGCAAAACCTGCCTCTCTTCTGTGTACAGGGCCCGTGCCTACCTAGCTGCTGAATGAATAAGAGAAAATGGGAGCCCAAAGAAAGCTGGTGTAAAGATCGAAGGGATCAGAGGTCACTGCCACAAGACCTGGGATTACAAGGCAGAGCTGTTGTTCCCCTCCCATGGGGGAACCGTAAGGGGGTGCTGACGCTTCGCTGCCCCCCTGCACATTATGGGAAGATTTAGTCATTGCTTCAGCTTTTGTTTTTAAATTACACCTTCGTTGAGCTATAACTCAAATACCAATACAGTTCGCTCACTTTATTTATTTAATTTTTAGAGACAGTCTCACTTTGTCATCCTCCGTAGAGTGCGGTGGCATCACAGCTCACAGCAACCTCCAGCTCTTGGGCTTCGGCGATTCTCTTGCCTCAGCCTCCAGAGCAGATGGGACTACAGGCACCTGCCACAATGCCAGGCTATTTTTTTGTGGTTGCAGTTTGGCCAGGGCTGGCCCCGAACCCACCACCCTTGGTAGATGGGGCCGTTTACTCACTCACTGAGCCATAGACACTGCCCCGGTTTACTCATTTTAAGTATACAATTCAGTGGTGGTTTACTAAGGACACCGCACACAGAGTTGGGGAGCTGTCATCACTACCTACTTTCAGAACATTCTCATCACCCCAAAAGAAGCTCTGTACCCATCAGCAGTCATTCCTTCCCTGGCTCTAGGCAGCCACGAATCTCCTCTCTGCCTCTCTGGATTTATCTATTCTAGACATTTCATATAAATGCAGTCATACAGTGTGTGGTCTTGTGTGACCGGCTTCTTTCACACCTCACGATGTTTGAAGGCTCATCTATATTACAGCATGCCGAATAATATTCATCATAGTATATGACATCTATCCGTTCTTCAGCTGATGGACATTTGGGCTGTTTAGACTTTGTGGCTGCTGTGAATATTCATGCACAGGTTTTTGTGTGGACAGGTGTTTTCATTTCTCTAGGGAAGAAATCCAGGAGCGGAATTGCTGAGTCCTAGGGTAACTCTATATTGAATGTTTTGAGAAATTGCCAGAGTGATTGAGCTGTGGCTCAAAAACAGGAGAGCACGGTCCAAGTGAGAGAGCGTCCGTCACTCATTTCTTCTCGCTAGTTCCTTCTCCTGACCTCATATGTGGACTTCATCTGTCTCTAAAAGATGAGGGGAGTAGAATTAGAGATCTTACGTCCTGCTCATTCTCTCTGGCTCCCCAAGAATTAATTGCCTTCAGAGACTTGATCAGGGGACACAAGTGCTCAAAGACTGAACACAGCCTTTGGTTCAGTCTTGCCTTTGGTTATTGCTGGGTCTTTGCTTTTTTTTTTTTTTTTTATTTTTTTTTTTTTTTTGAGACAGAGCCTCAAGCTGTCCCCCTGGGTAGAGTGCCGTGGCATTACAGCTCACAGCAACCACCAACTCCTGGGCTCAAGCGAGTCTCCTGCCTCTGCCTCCCAAGTAGC